TCACTTATTCTAGACCTATATATATATATATATATGTATATAGTTACTTATGTATATATTTATTTGTATTCTGTGTGGAATTTTTGTGTATATATATATATATAGACATGTATATATGTATATGCTATTGTTTTTTTTGTTTTTTTTCAAATTATTTTTATTGAAACGTATGATAAGATAACAATAAGGAATACAGTTCAATTCTTCGTTTTTTTGGGGGATAAACGTATACTTATGCAGGTATAACTTCTAATATGTACACACAAGTATAAATGTTGAAGTAGTCACACCTACTACATATACAAAAAACAAAATAAGAACAATAAAAGAAGAGAACAATACACCCCATTCCCACCCTGTCTCAGCCCAACATATTCAGCAGAAAAATAAGATAAGAAATAATAAAAATAAAAAATAAGAAATAATAAAAAAATAAATAAATAATAAATTTAAAAAAACATCAGCAAAGTACAGCAACAGGCACACGTATCTAGTAAGGTAGGAGCTCCAAATCAGAAAAAAAAGAAAGAAAACACTGCCATTTTTGGAAAAAAATTGTCTGTACAGCCTCTCATTGTATTGCTCTTCAACTTAGTATTCAAGCAGTTTTAACTCCCTCAACTTTGTGACTCTGCAGACCTTTTGCACGTCGACGTAAAGCAACGAGTGGGTGGAAAAATCTCAAACTGAGTCGGGATAGTTATTTCTTAAACATTATTTATCGATTCACAACCTTGAAAAATCTGATCTTAAGTATGTTTGGGAAAGTTCGCTTCCCACACAGCCTTCTAGTTTCGTTACTAAATTATTTATGAGCTGTGATGAGGCAGAAGCATCCGTGCTCCAAATGTTGGATCTCCAAATAGAGATTTCATCATAAAGGAGCAGGAACAAAACAACACACTGTAACAGTCACTGTCATTTCTCTGTTTTTCTGTTAAATGACATCGTCTCTGCCACATCTCTGCTCTCAAAAGAAGATTTTAGCCCCAATTCCTGAAATATCTGCCATAATTCTGTCACTGGGATTTTTCAAACCACCTCTCCTGCTACTTTACTGCCCCCCCCCCCCCCCATTCAGGGCTCTCCAGGGTGTCTCCACAGCCAGAAAAAAGAGTCTTTCCAAGTATTTTATCATGATAAATGTGAGAGTTTAAAAAGATTTATCGTATTTTCCTCAATCACGTCTCACAATTTCTCCATTACTGGATCTTTTTTTGCTTCCACAGTGGGTTCAAATAAATTCTGAACCGAAACCATGGGGAAAACAACCAGAACTAGTTAGGGGCTCTTTATGGTCCCTCTGGGACTCTGATTGCATCCGTTTGGTTCCTCTGGATCCAGCTTTGCTTTTCCCACCTCTTCTGAGACCCCAAAACCGCACGCAAACAAATCGGATCACGCCGGGTGCAACAAGGCCTTAATTTCCTCGTATTCCTGGAGGGAGTGGAACTTGAGCTTGTAGAAGAAACTAGACACAACACTTTCATTTAAAAACCATATCAAAATCACTGCAAAAAACAATAAAATTTAATATACGTAACTTTAAGCAAATCAGATCATCGATGACAGTGATCAGTTCTGCTAAAATGTTCCTACACTCAATGATATTTTCACACACAGACTACTGCATCACAACCTACTCACTCACCGGAGACACAACTTTAAAACCAATAGAAATATTATTCAAAAAATCTTTAAAAACCTTTGATCAAAAGCCCCTGTCATTCCATCAGTGTCATATTTTGGAAAAATATAATATGCTCAGTTTTGAAAACTTTATTCATTATAAAAAATAGTTGTTTAATTTACAAAGTTCTGAATGGATAAGCCCCACCTCCACTTTCTACCTACATCAGGGAACGTCCCACTTTTTTGCAAATTTAAAAAGCACCTTAAACTGTTTCTCAAAAGACATGCACTCACTCATTTTAATTTTGTAATGTCACTGTCTGAACGTGTGTCTCTCTGTTTTAACTGATATTGTGTTATGTGATTTTGTGTTGTTTTATCTTCCTGCCTCAGGATGACAGATGTAAATTAGCAACTATGCTAGAATCTGGCTCATTTACAATCTGTATGAGATTGTTCATTAATGTGCACTGTCCTGATTAAATAAATAAATAAATAGATACAGCAGAGAGGGCCGGGACTAAATCCTGGAGGGGAGGGGGCCTGTGGGGGTTGAGCAGGGCTGATTACAGAACCAGGAGGCCGACCGGATGTTAGCAGGGACGCTAACAACGTTAAGAAAAAGGGAGGAATGCTCGCCTGTGAGGGTTCAACATGTCTGGGCTGTAATAATGCATGAAGGTAATCAAAGACCTGAGTCCTTCTCAGGTGTCCGTGTCCCAGAATAGCCTAATTAGGATGAATTATTGATCGGCGTTATTTTTTTTTGAGGCAGTTTCAGAGAGGTTTTTCACTGTTTCACTGAGGGACACGAGCATTTATGACCCATTCCAACTAACTTAGCATCTCACTGCGTTTATTTGAGGGTTTATTTTTAGTTAGGAACTAAAAAGCCAGTAACTCAGAGTAGCTTCTGCTCTAATGTCACCAGCCTCCAGCCTCCATGGACATGGACAACACACGCACCATAGTTTAGCTTTGTCTTCAACTCAATTGTTTCTTTTTGCAATCAACTCAGTGCAATATTCATTGATGTTTCTTTTGTGCAATAATATGTATATATATGCTCTTACCCTGTATATATCTAGCTCTTAGATATAGAAAACATATTTATTAAGTAGGAATAAGGTCTTAGCTCTGTCACACTGGTAGCCAAGAAATCGACATTTCGTTGTCAAGATTCACCTTGTGTTTTTTGTACAATGACAATAAAGGAAGTCTAAGTCTAAAGGAAATTATCTGTTCTATCCCACTGTTCTATGTGGAAGCAACTTCCAAAGCAACGCTTCACTGTAAATAGCGCCGAATTACAACAAATGTCCTCTCACGGCATGCCAAAGGTACAGCTGTAGTCCACTTAAAATGGAATTGAATGTAAAACAATCGCAATCCAATAAAATCCAACTAATTCGATTTCAAATCGGCCCGATTTGTGTAGAGTCGGCTCTAAATTGTTGCCTGGCTGAAAAAACCAAGTGTACTGAAAATTGGCCGGTTATTTACTAACCCTAACCCTGACGTGAACGGGCCAGGTCCTAATTAATGCAGGTAACCTTTGAATGTGGTATCAAAGTTTGTGTGTTGACCTAATGACATGTGTCTAATCTTACAGAGAAAGATCATTATTAATTATCAATATCAAAAATGTATTTCTGTTTTTTTCTTTTTACATATTTTGTTATAAGGCCAAATAAGGAATTCATACAAAAAAAAAAAAAAAAAAAATCTGTTTTGTTTTGTTCTTGGATCAGGCTTTAAAGGGTTAAAAACATAATCGATTCTTTGACAAAGTTTGGCCCAAAGTAGAGAATCTGACCCACCTCTGATCGGACAGATGCTCCTTTTCTGTTAAATCCAGGAAGCCGAACCTGTTCATGAACAAACCGTTAACTGGATATACACTGTTGTATTTTCTATAACTTTTCTTTCTGTGCTCATTATCAGAGTCAAAGCATCTCATCAACCCACATCTGATCTTTGGGTTTTACACAGAACGCAAACCAGTTTTATAATGTTATTTAATTTTTATTTCATTTGAGGATTAGACCCCAAAGTAGCTTCGATTCTTTTCTTTAAATGTTGTGAAGCTGCCTTAACTTTGTGATTGTTAAAACATGCAGGAAACCCTGGAATCAGAGACCTGTCCTCTGTTTGTGCAGCACATTTACTGCTTAGACACGTAAAGTAGTCTTTTTATTCTTTTACAGCAAGAAAATGAAAGACTGCATCTTCTTTTCAAACAACAATCAGGATTAATTAGAACCAGATATTGCTTTTACATTGATTGAATACAGGCAAAACTAATTAAAACTGGTTTTCCCTCAAAGGACTAAGGTTAATTATTTCATTTGCTCAAACGTTAAAAACAATTACAAACCAGAAACATACGAAAATTGTTGGATTCCCGAAAAAAAAGAAGCAAGAAGCTTTACGAAAATGCTTTTATTCATTTTTTTTCCTTTACACCTTCCATTGAAAAGCACATTTTAAAGCACAAAGATTTACTCTGTATATAAACGTCTCTCTTCCACGGACTAAAAAAAAAAAAAGAAAAGAAATCATGGTAGCTTTTGCACATTGTGCTTTAATTATACAACCACTCTGGGTAAACATCTTATTGCATAAATCACACTGACCTCAGAGGCCATTTGTTGAAGTGTCCTTTTAAAAATCAGATTTAGATACAACAGAAACGATGTAAAAAGAAGCTCTCGCACTCGTTCCAAAGTAAACAACGATAGCAGCTTTCTGGATGAAGGCGATGCACATTGTCCTGAAAAGAGTGGCTAAAAAATAATAATCCAGGAAGAAACACAACACAAATCATGTGACGACAAACGGCAGTTGTGCTTTTGTTAACCGAACAAAACGTAATCCTCAGCCGATGACCCCAACACACTCAAATTAAAAAACAAATAACAACAAAAAAAGGTTATTTTCAATCCTAAATTGCAGCTATCAGTTCGTTTCCCTTTAAAACAGTAGCTAATCTCTAGTTGCACGAATCCCCTTTACAATAATTACGCTTTACAACGCTGGTTTGGCTAGAATCTACTCTGCCTACACCCCGAAAAACTAGCATTTCTCAAAAGGCAGTGTCTCTCCACGACATCTCCGAGGAGACTCCACATCACCGAACGCAGAACGGAAGTCGATTTGAACAAAAAAACAGGAAGAAAAGCACAAATTCATAAATGACTTTGGTATAAACGACATGGAGCTGGATTCAGACCCAAAGTTCAGGTTAGTGAACGTTCCCTTTTCACAACAAGATTCTGCTTGTTTAAAAGGAAATGATGGAAAAACAGCTGAAAAAAAAAAAAAATAGGTAAACAGGAAATTAACTCAAAGCAGGATCAGAATGGAATAAAAAAAACAACAAAACAAAACAGAGTGATTATCCAAAACCTGGTTGGTTTTTCTAGTTTTTTCAACTTTTGATTTTCGTTAAACAGCAGAGGAGACTAAAACGTTGTTTTTGTCATGAATCTTCTACTTATTCCTCAGAACATTCAGGGTTGGTTTTTGATACGACACTCGCATAGTTTCACTTTCTCACAATTAACCATGAAAACAACCTCATTTGGATTCAGGGGGTCAGAAAAAGCTCCCGACTTAGTAGTTCCTATTCAGAATGAAACCAGAATATTATCGGACATGTAAACATGGCCTCTAAATCATGTGTACTGGACTTGGTGCAATTACCTAAAACTGTCTCAAAGATCTGATGGTTTTTGTAAAAAAACAAACAAAAAAAACAGCTCCTCGGCCCCGTGCCTCCGGTTAATAATCGTTAGTGTAGATGGATGAGCGGCTCATTGAGGCTGAGGGCTCCGCTTTGTTTCCGTTTGAGTGCTGACTCATCCCTGACCAGGGACGCTAAACCCCCCCCCCCCCCCCCCC